GAATGCCGAAATGTCCCAAGTAACTATTCAAATCGCACGAATTATAAAACATTTTCATTGCTTAGAAATAGAGGAGGCAAATACATGAATCGGATAATTTTTTTTAGATATATCATAATAAATTAGATAAAAATAATTTATTAATTAATTTAAATTCATTAATAATTCATATAAAAAATCAATTCATCCGATCCATTTCAAGCAAAAGATTAAGACAACTCATCTATTAACAATTTTTCATGGATGAATAATCTATCCATCCATAAAAATAATATTTTAAAAATTAAATAATTTCTATGTTAAAAACATTTTATTTCTTAAATCTTTTATAAGTCATTACAATATTATAAAATCTTTTAAAATTTACAAAACTTTTTTTTATATAAAAATAATCTTTTAAAATCTCAATCCAATAAATATATTATATTATAATCTAATGAATTTTAAAAAATAGTGAATGAATTACTAACCATTTATAAAATAAAATGAATAAATTGAATTTGATCTATTATTTATTTTTATTATAATTGATGGATTGAATAAATTTACTATGAATAAATCAAATGAATGAATATTGATAAATAAATTCATTTAACACCTCTTTAAAATTCCAAATCTTGAAGTTTGATTAGTGCCTGAAATAAACAAATATCAAAAAATTCTTAAAAAAATAAATAGTTAGATATTGTTGTGGAATTTGGCACCCATTTCAACAAAAATATTTTACCATTGAAAAGAAAATTTTATCTATTACATTGTAAATTACTAAATTTTAATATTATTTATTTAATAAAAAAGGCTGGCTAGAGTCAGGACTAATTATAAAATTGCCCCAAGCATTCTTCAAAATGATTTAAAATTCTAGTTTTTTAACATATTTTTATTATATTAGCAAGTTTTATTCTCATGCTTTGATTTTAATTATTGTTCTTAGTACGGGAGATGTAAATTCTTTACCCATTTTTCTTACAACTTTTAATAGAAATCAACATGATAGTAGTTGGGGTCACAAAATAATGTCAAAAGATTAATTAGATTGACAGATCGAACTAAGTCTATAGTAAACTTGAACAGACCAATCAACTTTATCAATTCACCCATGCTAAATCTGGATGATAACCTAGGTGATTATATCTCCAACGGTCAAGGTGTAATTCCTATGCCATATCTCTAAAAATTCCAAATCTCATTAAAAATCAAGTTATGAAGAATATTTTTAAGATCACTCACTTACCGAGATATCATGTATCATTCTAATTCTAATTTTTACGCTTACCCTAGACACTACTCTTATTTAAGTGTTAGAATGTCTTTACAAATATTTGTTCCATCTAGAGATGGCAAATATATCCGTACCTGTGGATAATACCCGAACCCGTCCCGACTTTGACGGGGAATACCCGGTTTGACCGGGTACGGGTACGGGTACGGGTAAAACCCGATATATTAAATCGGGTACGGGTACGGGTACGGGTATGTACTTACCCGCCCCGTACCCATACCCGTACCCGTTCCTATTTCCATTTTTAATTTAATACTCACTTTTAATTTAATTATATTAAAAAAATTTAATATTTTTTATGTGTGATTATTTATTATAATATGAAATAGAAAAATAACTTAATTATAATTATAATATAATAAAAAAAATAA